ATTACCTAGCATCGAGTCGGGCCTCTAACTTTCTATTCTCTCTGACATAACCTTAAACCTTCTTCTTCTTCTTCTGATGGTTTATTGGCTTATATTCCAAGAGAGGAACCTACAGCCATCTATAGACAACCTTAAACCTTCAACCCAGAGCCGCAAACAGCTGACGCTTGACGATGCTGCGCCGAGAAAATGAACCAATCACAAAATAGCACAGTAATACGTCACTAAAATGAAGAGATCACGTGACTGCTCGTGATTTTTTCGAATCAATCTGAAACTATAACCTCGAATATGAGGCATTTAAGCATAACGAAGCCCCAAAATAGTTTAACCAGGTAATACGTCCGTGCGAGATTGTTATGCTTAAAAGCAAAACATTTCACGAAAACTTTTACGAGTACCAGATGCAAAAAAAAAATCAAATTTTCCCGGGTGTACCAGAATGGCGTCATTACCCATAAGGCAAAACGGTATGTAGTATAGTACATGTTACATCGGGGGAGTCGAACGGGTGGAAAGGGCGCATCTGGTACCCAGAAGCGCCCAAAATTGAAAATCATTTACGTAGAAAAATCGAACTGAATCAATTCTTTAAACCTCCAAAAACTCAAAGAGGCTAGTTTGTTCGCACAGGCTGAAACTTCCGTTGCCTTTTGACGGTCCGTCATAAAAACTCAACTGTTCGGGTTAACTGCGGGTCAGTAACATTTTAAGCTGATGTTAATAACATGGCAAACAGACTATTGGACACGTAAGTGCCCTTTTAACGCATCGCCACTCAATAGAAGGGTCACATATGAGACGATGAACTGATGCTGAAGCCACAGACAGTAAGTTTACGCACCGAAGCGCTGAGCCGCTCCAAGATCCTACTCTCCTCTGTTTGGGGCACTGAGGCTGATGTGCTGGTTACATAACACCTCGGCGCGCCGCGCAAAGGCATACTTACAAAATGATGCCCCTTACATAATAATAATTAATCAAGGTATTTGACTGGTTCCGATCTTGACAATCACCGTGTATTATCACAACCGGTTCGAGCTTCGGGCAACCCGAGATTCCAGCCGCAGCTGCCCGTAGTATGCTCGTCGACGTAATATCAATCGTCAAATTTAGTACGGGTGTTCTTTTTTTCTGTCTCTCACACTTCCGATTTGGTACGCTAGGATGGGTACAGGAATCAACCGGCCTTTGTGCAGGAATTTCTAACTTCGTATTGAGAATAAATAACGGTTATTGATTTGCTCCGAATGGTTCATGTGGAACTCGCTGATTCTCTGTAGCTCCTACTGTACTCAGGTACATTCAGAAAGTCGAGTAATATGCATCATAGTATTGGATTACGTACCATAATGGATGGTAGCACCACCAAGAGTAATGGTGCTCCATACGAACCACTGTATTGTATAAATTTAATCATTCAACTTGTCATTTATGCTCCAAACTCAGTCTCAAATATTACGTAGAAATGAATAAATACACTGAACATACAAGAATGAAAATTCTCTCCGTGTCTTTGATATAAATATGACATAATTAATCTAATGTTTAAAATTTTAAACTCAACTGGTTGAAGTCCCTGAAGAAAGCTACTGTATTTGTGTTAAAATGATAAGCCAATTCTTTTCTTCAATACCTCTCAGTTGGCTACATACTGATTCAGCATCCTGATGTAATGCCTCTCATCTGATGAATAACTTCTTCCATGATACGGACTGTCTGACATGAAGCTGAAATGGGGGGGGGGGCTCAAAAATATTTTATACATCGGATTGATAAACAAATCAGGATAAGTAAGATTGGATTAAAGAAAAATATCTAAGAAAGCCTCATAATATCAACACCGCATGACTATGACAGTCTCTTCATTATAATAACAAATTTTATTCCGGGGAAGAAATTTGTGAGTAATGCAATGTCATGGTATGTGAGTATGCAGGCCTTTCCGAGACTCCTGCACCAGGATGGATCATAATTTATTATTTTAGTCACTTCAATAATTCATGGTTTTAGTCTTGCACAACGGTGACCATATTTACTTGTTTTGTACTTGTTATTTTGCGGATGATGTGGAAGTTTTGCTGAATAATGAATAGAGGATTATTTGTAAGCCTCGAGCCAGGGCAAGTCACGTTGAGCGGAATTTACTCTTTCTACTTCGCTTTGACTTAACTCAGAATAAGTTAATGATTGCTCATTGTTGAAGTGCTCCAAAAGGGACAAGCATCGATATTATCCATCGATTAATCAGATAAAAGGGAACCTTTGGGTATTATCGTTGAAGTTCATAAGCTCAAACTGAGTTACTAAAATAAACTATAAGAGTTGCGTCTCGCAAATTATTTTGTTTTCCATACATAAAAGCTACTTTCGTAGCGCTCTTTTGCGCTCTGCGATACCTACGTTGTATTAATTTTTGCTCTGAAATAAATTTATGTCATACCCTTGCAAATGTTTTAACGTTTTTCTTATTTATTTCTGTTTCAGGGCTCGTAATTGTTGCAGCCTTAGTTTTATTGTTCGCCGGAGTAATAGTAGCATTATTTTTCACTGCCTGGGTTAATTTAGTCATCGATAATGTAAGTCTACTTCAATATTATCATTGACTCTTTTGTAAAGTTAAGTTTCAGTAAGCAAAGCAGCTAAGTTTAAACTTACTGTTACTGAAAAATCATGCATATTTCGAAAGCAATCAGTCGAGTCAGGCATTTTATCAAATGCCTAGGCCGGTAGTAAAATTTTGACAGTTTACGGAATTCTGTAAATTTATGGCAAGGAGTTCACGGGTTTTCAATATTTTGGGAAGAATAACTCTTCAAATCTGCGAACTCTCCTTGTTCCTTCCTTTTTACATGCCTTTAGTACATTTAAATGTTGAAATTTTAAAAATTCTATGCTTGATGACGTGCTGAAAATTTCATGATACATAAGCATCCATGATCTTAAAATCGTTTACAATACTGTTGAATGCTGCACATTTTTACAGAGGATTCTTTCTTACAGAGGCAACGAATTATTTTTTTTTTAAAATTCGGGTAAAAAATCAAAATTTCAAACTAAGTAGGAATATTTTGCTATTTGCCTACGCATTTGACAAAATGCCTGATTTGATCATTTACCTTTGACATATGTAATTATTATCTAATAACTCAAAATTGGCTCCTTAAAAACTTTCTTCCCCGAAAAAGATCCTTTTTCCTGAACACTTAAAAATAGGTATGAAATGATGAAAATATAGGGTGTATTTTTGCTCCAGGAAAAATTTTGAGAGATTCTACGTTTATGGAAGCTGGGCTTGTCTTGGTTTCTGCGGGAACGTTTCCTTGAATTACAAAAATTTACGATGAAGGCGGTAGAACATTAGAGATCCGTAATAATTAGGGAATTATTAGACACGCACATCTTCGACCTCATGCACGATTTGCGTGCATGACATTAATTCTGGAATCATTACACTGCCGGTTAACCTTCGCTTCGAGTTCTGGGAAATTGTTTTCGTCAAATTCTATTCGCAGCATTCGTTTGACTGGCGGACTCTGTAGGGTCATTGCGATTGCAAGAGACGTTGAACTGCACCAGCTAGTAAAAAAAAAGAAATACCCTAATGAATAATCTACTTTAACATGCATACCTCAGAATACTGATAATCTCCTGATTTCTTTCATTAGCTTTTTCTCGATGAGTAAAAACTCCTCATTTTGTGAAGCTGCATCATACTTCATCCTTGGAATTACCTTATTATTGACTTTTTCGACTAGAAATATACCAAGCAGATGCAGATAAATGGTTTATTACACATCCCGATGCATTTCACCCGTACCTACTTGGCAAGTCTTAAGTAAAAAAAGTATAATAATAGGTGTAATGTTGCGACCCTTCAAAACTTATTCTTGACTGTTTCACACTGTTTTTGGTTAGAGATTGAAAGTTTGGAGCACTCGTTGGGCACTCTGCTCATTTTCTTACGAGTTATTTTTTTGGGTGGTAAATATGGATTCACATCAAAATCTCAGAATCTGATCATCGGGCAAAGTTTATCGGAAATTGAAAATGTTGTCGACCACAGAAAAAGGTCATTTTTTCGAGGATGATCACATATTGAAATGAATTCGCCGTAAGACTTCTGTCATGCACAACCACTACGCTTTTGTCATACATATTTTGAAATCTCTTTTTTCATCTCATTAAGTGATGAGCAGTCCTCCGATACTTAATTCAAGTAATAGCCAATCAAGTAACAAAACGAGTATGGAGGAGATTAAAAATGATGTACGTATATCTGCATCTGGTACGGCTAGTATAATGACCAGCCGTATTTTACGTTGCGTGACAGTATTAAACATATCCGAAACTTATCATTAACGCAGCCAGCACTTATTCTCAATATCCTTATAAGATCGTAACACCCAAATATACTCGAAAGCCGTTTGACCAGTTGCTTATTAAGCTTCCCGTAAATCCTAAAGCAGTGACGTTGCCGCTTATGACAGCATTTCAATTTTCAAATCATTTTCATAAAATCAACTCCGCAGCTTTATGTGCGTCACCTTCATTTTTTTTTCGTTTCATCTTTTTCAGAAAGGGCATTAAATTTTTCGATATGCATTGTATTACAGCATATTTTTAGTCAAGTTTGACTAGAATTGCTTATTTGTGCTGTTCTATGGAGCAAAATTGTCCAAAACTATCTTCTTCTATCTACTCGTCCAAATAGAGACCCATAGAAAATCTTAGTCTATGTCATGGAGCATGCCGTTAGTCTTCAACTTAATGGGCGTAAATCTGTAATTATGAAAATATTCCTATTGAATTGAATGAAAAAATACCTCCATTTTGACATTTGCCTTGTAATGAATATATTCGTATGGTTCCCAGAGCCCAGGTCACAATGGATATAGTTCTTTTTTATTTAAACACGCCCGATTTAGAGGTGCATTCTAGGAAAGGGAAGCCTTGGACCCCTGACCCTGTAAATTTAGGTGCCCTGGGTTATATTACACAAAAATTTCAAAAGATTCTTCATGTAAATATTCAGAGACCTGGCCAGACCTCACGCTTTGAGCAAACAAAAGCATCCATAAGATTTTACTAAATTCTTAGTCAGCATTACCTATTTTTGTGTTCATTTAACTCTCGTTTTTGAACTGGATACAAATGCTTCCTCCTGAGTAAATTAGCAAGTTGTTTATTAAAAAAATTAACTACCAAATTTGGCATCATATTCTCCACGCAATGACTCCACTGTTTTGGCTGTCCTTTTAAGACCCCCAGTTTTGCAAGCACTCACTGACGCAAGAGTACATATATCCGCGCAGCTCTGCCGTGCTAAAGGAAAACGCCGCATGGACCTCCAGGCGTTGCCAAATTTCCTCTGATAAAGTACGAATTTATTACGAATAATGTAAATATTTTTCTTCCAATTTTTCAGACTATTTTGTTCGCAATTTAATCTAAAATATCTGAAAATTTTAAGGAAAAATATGCATGTCAAAAATACATGTTTTATTGGGGGAAATGGCAACTCTCGAATGTTCATACGGCGTTCTTCCTTAACACGGTAGAGCAGAGCTGTACGCCAGCTTCAATTTACTGCCTCCTTTTGTGAAAACGAGTGGTCATCTATTGTCTAATTATTTTATCATTCTTGTTTATTGTTTTTTGAGGGAGATTACAAGGACTAGAGGCGTAGTGTGTTTACTTAGTATCACAATTCGGTCGCGAAAAATCGACGGAGGTCCATACAAAGGTCCAAGCGGAAGGAGTTTCTCAGCTTTGAAGCCCATATTTTAAGAACACCCATTGTCATGAATTCTCAAATAGGAAATAATAAAAAGTTCCCAATTGATATACACTTTTTCAAAATTACTGAAAAATCATGACGGTCTTTTACAAATCCATATCTACGTATTCCGGAAATTTTGCCGGTTGTTCCTGGTTTCTCAGTCACCATAAATCATGCTGACTTTAATTATTTTTATGAATCTTATTAATTTGTTGACGCTTGTCAAAGTTTTTAGCAATTAAATGGAAATAAGTAACAAGGACTCAAGGTTTTTCAGGGCTGCACTCAAGAGTTGCAAACAGTTTATTGGTCAAAATTGAATCAATTAGTCGCGCATGGTTTCATCTAACTTAATTTATAAAAAGCTGGTTGAGATAAAATCCGAAACCTAGCTGAATCTACCGCAACATATTTTAACCCAGCATTCGTGTCTTATTTATTAGAAATTCCCCACTTACTTGTGTAATGGGCCTCTAGAAAAGGTATGAATCAAAGCAATATGCTTTATGCAGCATCTTAAAAATGATAAACCAAAGGTGATTTACAAACTGGAATTTTCAGATATTATCTCGTAAGCAGGATAGTGCCATACATACGTCACAGTGGTCAAATGGAGCAAAATCATACAGATGACGTAATTTGTAATTTTGGCCATTAACCAATGTTAATTATACATGTACTTAAATCCTCTCAAGGAGTTGTTTGCCAAATTGTCTGTTGTATGAATAATTTTTTGCCTAAAACTTCGAAAAAAACGACAAAACGAGGGTTTTTTTAAATTTGTTACCCTGATACGGATCCCACTTAACGCCAAGCGGTTCATCGCGAGTTCACTTAATTTTATACTCATCCTGAAGTCATGAATTTGATCATTTAAGCCTCAGCTTGTAGAGTTTCCAAGTTACGATTTTTTGGGATTGATGCTTTGCTGGAACGTTAAAATCCCTCGTCTTCATGTTCGATGAACGATGAGATATCGAAATCTCTAGATTTTATCGCAGGAGCAATAAACGATAATTAGCGTGGTGGGACCGTGGCTATCTTTATTGATCCTTCAATTACTGTCATCAGAATTGTTCCAGGTACGATCTCGTATCTCGTAAACTGCTTTAGCGATCGTGCCCCATTCGCTACCTCCCATTATTCCCCCTGCTGCTATAAACTTAAAAGTAATATTTATAACTTCATGATATGCAGAAATGCAAGACGAGGAAAGGACAAAAGAAATTAGACCCAGAAATGCGTCAATACTTGTATGTGTCTAACAAATGAAAGACCATTGAATACGCAAAGTTACAGATTCAATTAGTTGAACAGTTCATAAAATGTTTCATTACATCATTCACCAAGAGCAACTATTTCAAACCTTGAAACATGGAAATAGGAAAATTGTAGAAATGTCAAAAACTAATAAAAATCATGAAATATAATCCCTATTTTTATCTTCAGTGATGTCTAGGTAGGCATTTTCAAAGGATGGCCTGAGGTCCAAAAGTTTTGAAAAAGATGCTGAAAATTTAAGAAAAAGCAAAAATAAAATATTTTAAGGAAAACGTTTGGCTTTCTAGAGTTTCTCAATGATATTTACCCTCTGATTTTCAGCAACTAGGTAATGACTTGCGTTAGGTTTGATGATACTGTAGATTCGACTCAGAGCACTACACTGAGTTTTTCATAAAACTATAGTTTAGCACAAAAAACAGGCGAATGAATAAGGAATAATCAATACTACTGCAAGAATACCTACAGCAAAATAATCTTTAATAGTACATACATATACTATCAATGATTAAATTG